GACTGAGAACACTTAGCGCTGTAGCAGGTTTTCATCCCAGGTATGGAGCTCATGTTAAAATTATGAAAATTATTAATTTTACTTACATTAGATCACTGGTTGATTAAGCCGCACCCTTACTTGCCCTTATGTTAGATTGGAAGTTTGAAGGGCTTGAAAAACTGCAGAACGAAGCAGTGAGAATCATCCTGCGAGGCCCCCATATCTCCCAAATTCTAAATATTAGAAAGAACTTGATATTCCAAGTATCAGTGATCGTATCACAAAGAAATGTCCTCTTTAGTGTTAATATGCTCGGGGAAACCTGTCCAAACTCTTGCACAGAAGCCCTCCAAACTTAGGTGCCCTGTGGCCTGGTGGCTAAAGCTCTCGATTCACACGGCGACGTCTGGGTTCGATTCCCAGCGAGGGTAGAAACATTGGGCGTGTTTCTTTACACTGGTTGTCTATGTTCACCCATCAGTAAAATAGGTACCTGGGAGTTAGTCAAAACTGACCTAATTTGTCCGAAATTCTCTGTATAACAAGCGACTTTCTATATAGTAGTATGTCACTGATGTTAGCTAGGACTGTATACCTTGTACATGTACTTGTAGTAAATAAAGATATTATTATTATTATTATTATTATTATTATTATTATTATTATTATTATTATTATTTATTATTATCATGTGAGCACTCCAAATGGATCATGAATACTGGAACTGACCTTCGGATAAATCAGAAGTGTCTTGGACAAGACACTTCCCTGCAACATAGGAAACTACCTCTTTCCGAATCACTATCCTTCACTTTCCCCCCAAAAATCGTAGTCATAACAAAGTTTCTTCTTGAAGCCTAATACGATGCTTTAGTCACACAGCACTCTCTTTCACAATTTATGTAACAATGTTGGTAGGATTACCGAAAAGCTCCTGGAGAGCGAAACGTTGCCACAATAAAATGTCGCAATAGTTTTACTTGTGTCTTTTTACCTAACATAATTTATGTATGTCGCTGGATCTGTTCACCAATCCACTGGTGCAATTCGTAGTGCCACTATTGTCCTACCTGGAGTTTACCTGGGGAGAGTTCCGAGGGTCAACGCCCCCGCGGCCCGGTCTGTGACCAGGCCTCCTGGTGGATCAGAGCCTGATCAACCAGGCTGTTGCTGCTGGCTGCACACAAACCAACGTACGAGCCACAGCCCGGCTGATCCGGAACTGACTTTAGGTGCTTGTCCAGTGCCAGCTTGAAGACTGCCAGGGGTCTGTTGGTAATCCCCCTTATGTGTGCTGGGAGGCAGTTGAACAGTCTCGGGCCCCTGACACTTATTGTATGGTCTCTTAACGTGCTAGTGACACCCCTGCTTTTCATTAGGGGGATGGTGCATCGTCTGCCAAGTCTTTTGCTTCGTAGTGAGTGATTTTCGTGTGCAAGTTCGGTACTAGTCCCTCTAGGATTTTCCAGGTGTATATAATCATGTATCTCTCCCTCCTGCGTTCCAGGGAATACAGGTTTAGGAACTCAAGCGCTCCCAGTAATTGAGGTGTTTTATCTCCGTTATGCGCGCCGTGAAAGTTCTCTGTACATTTTCTAGGTCGGCAATTTCACCTGCCTTGAAAGGTGCTGTTAGTGTGCAGCAATATTCCAGCCTAGATAGAACAAGTGACCTGAAGAGTGTCATCATGGGCTTGGCCTCCCTAGTTTTGAAGGTTCTCATTATCCATCCTGTCATTTTTCTAGCAGATGCAATTGATACAATGTTATGGTCCTTGAAGATGAGATCCTCCGACATGATCACTCCCAGGTCTTTGACGTTGGTGTTTCGCTCTATTTTGTGGCCAGAATTGTTTTGTACTCTGATGAAGATTTAATTTCCTCATGTTTACCATATCTGAGTAATTGAAATTTCTCATCGTTGAACTTCATATTGTTTTCTGCAGCCCACTGAAAGATTTGGTTGATGTCCGCCTGGAGCCTTGCAGTGTCTGCAATGGAAGACACTGTCATGCAGATTCGGGTGTCATCTGCAAAGGAAGACACCGGTGCTGTGGCTGACATCCTTGTCTATGTCGGATATGAGGATGAGGAACACGATGGGAGCGAGTACTGTGCCTTGTGGAACAGAGCTTTTCACCGTAGCTGCCTCGGACTTTACTCTGTTGACGACTACTCTCTGTGTTCTGTTAGTGAGGAAATTATAGATCCATCGACCGACTTTTATCTGTTATTCCTTTAGCACGCATTTTGTGCGCTATTACGCCATGGTCACACTTGTCGAAGGCTTTTGCAAAGTCTGTATATATTACATCTGCATTCTTTTTGTCTTCTAGTGCATTTAGGGACCTTGTCGTAGTGATCCAATAGTTGAGACAGACAGGAGCGACCTGTTCTAAACCATGTTGCCCTGGGTTGTGTAATGATGGGTTTCTAGATGGGTGGTGATCTTGCTTCTTAGGACCCTTTCAAAGATTTTTATGATATGGGATGTTAGTGCTATTGGTCTGTAGTTCTTTGCTGTTGCTTTACTGCCCCCTTTGTGGAGTGGGGCTATGTCTGTTGTTTTTAGTAACTGTGGGACGACCCCCGTGTCCATGCTCCCTCTCCTTAGGATGGAAAAGGCTCGTGATAGGGGCTTCTTGCAGTTCTTGATGAACACAGAGTTCCATGAGTCTGGCCCTGGGGCAGAGTACATGGGCATGTCATTTATCGCCTGTTCGAAGTCATTTGGCGTAAGGATAACATCGGATAGGCTTGTGTTAATCAAATTTTGTGGCTCTCTACAGTGATGGTTCTCATATAGAAATTGGAACAAGCATCAACACTTCGGTTTCCACACTTCAAACTGAACTGTTTGCTAGCCTCTTTGTGCTCAAATGTGTTCATGTATCCTGTATGCCTTGCATCATGTATTCATGTATTATGCCCATATATCATGTATTTATGTATGCCTTAATTGTAAATGATTCTCAATTAGTTTAGTCTGATTAAGTGCAAATTTGAAATTGTTTTGAAATAGTTAAAAAAAAAAAAACTTAAATTACTGGAATCATAAATTACCGGAAAATGCATTTTTCTGGTCGGATTCAAACTTTTACCATAGGTGGCCTTTATTAAACAACAGTGTATCGCTCAATTTGAGTTGTGTGAATTTTGATATGCAATTTTATTGAGGAAACTGTTTCCCAAGTAATAACTAGAGAATGCCTCATCTAATCAGCTTCAAACCCTAAATGCTGGTGTATCTTAATAAGAAGTATTGTTGCATTGATTTTGGTCTGTGTGAGTGCCAATTTGCCAATTTCATGAAACTGGGTTTTGAAAAATTAAAATCTAATTATTTTCTTAAATGATTGTAGAGAATCTTAAATAGAATGTAAACAAAAAAAATACAGTCCGCGGATTGAAAGTGTTTTTAAGGTTAACGAGGGCAGACTTTCCAATTTCTCACACACTGAGGTCCGGGGGTTCGAGTCTCCTCTGGTACGGCTGGAAAACATTAGGGACGTGTTTCCATAAGACACCTGCCGTCCCTGTTCACTCATCAGTTTAAAATAGTCGACTGGTGTGGGTCACATCCTGGACAAAATTGACCTAATTTGCGGGAAATGCTTAGCATAACAAGCGACTTTCTATATAGTAGTATAGCATTGATGTCAGCTAGACCTATATACCTTGTACATATACTTGTAGTAAATAAAGATATTATTATCATTATATTACTATTAACATTCTCAGCAACATTTTCCTTGGCTTTCTCACAAATTTCCAGTTATTACTCGAAAATGTCTTATTTAATCGGCCTCAACTTTTCAACGTTTGTGTAATATATCTTGGACAAGATCCATGGGACTATTTGCGTGTGTGAGTGCACTGTGCACGTTGCTGCATAAGTCATTCCCTCATTCCTTTATTTCAGCACGATAGTGTCGTATGTCGTATGACATTTAGGTGTGCACGCACAAAGCTCCTTAATATGCAGAACATTTGGGGCAAACTGTAAGTTTAGAGCTTTCTTTTCATTAAAACAACAATTATGAACAACAGTAATCTTCAATGGCTGATGCATCGAATAAAATTATAGATCTTACATATGGAATTTGTGCATGGGGATCAACAACATCCAATCATCTAAAACCCCTCATAACCCAGCAAAAGGCAGCAGTCAGAATGATAACGAATTCCCACTCCCGCCAGCATACTCCACCAATTTTCAAAAGCCTGAATCTGCTCACCATTAAGAACATCCATACTTATTCATGTGCCTACTACATACACAGCACAATACACGCAAATATAAACCCTCCACTCAAACTTCTCCTCACCTACTTAAACAGGACACATGACCACAACACAAGACACAGATCTCTTTTTGATATACCTCGTGTCCATATCACACTGTGTAAAAACTCTATGCACATAAAGGACCCTAAAATATGGAATTCATTACCAGAATATATTAAAGTAACCCAGTCTGAAAATCAGTTTAAGACTCTTCTCAAAAGCCACTTAATCACCATAGACTAAATGCTAAATATTCAATACACACATACTCAGCTATGTACTCCCACATCATAAGTTCAACAATCACTTTGAACCTCTTATCCATTGTTGACAAGAATATAATTGAACCATTGCTTTTCACAATAAGCATTTTAGACTATATGAATATATCCTTTGTTTTATACAAATTTAATTCACTTATAATTAATAATCTACTGTTCAACTATGAAATAATTACTGTCCTACTGTACAACTATGATGAATCCTTAGTATTAAGTAGTCTGTAAGCCAATAATGTTAAGTTGGCCCATAATGCCCAGGCATAATAGAGGCTCTCTTTGCATTGCAACCCACTATTGTAAATATAAAATCTCAATGTACTGTTTGCAAAGACATAAAATAAATAAAAATAAATAAAAAAATCATATACCACACTGCAGCATTCCAGTCTCGCGCTTGAGGAACATATTTCTCCCGGACTCCCGGGAGGTAATGTTCAAGATGGAGTACGCTTTGGTACCCCTTATTAACCCCAACATCATCAACAGTGAGGACCTCGTGGCTGTCAGTGGCCCTTAAGACACTAATAAGAAGAGGGACTCGTGCAATCACAGGGAGTAGAGACGTCCAGGCAAATAAAAGAAGCTGTATAAACTAATTAATTCATACTACATCTGTCAAAATGAAAGCCCTAGACGGACGCAATAACATTAAAGTGTACAATTTAAGTGCTGGAAAATCACTTCCCGACGTGAGTTGTTTCTCGAGGTTATTTTTCCTTTTAAGAGGATTGTATTGATGATAGTGAAGGGTTGTTTATATATAGAATTAGAGCTATCTTCCCCTTTCATTGGATCAAACCTGATTGCTTCCACTTCCCCAAGTGCTGTATGACCCTTAAAGGCTTAGCACTAAAAAAAATATTTTACTAGTCCCTTTAAATATTTTGTTTGGGTAAAAGCGAACATTTGGTAAAACTACTGATCTTTATATTAATTTTTGCTAAAAGTTGTATAATTTGGTTGATGATAATTCCCTGATGGTTGTGGAAATAGCAAAAATAACACTGATATACTCTAACCACTATAAGGAACCTATATTTGTCAGTAATCTCATTTATTTTCCCAAGTCTCCGATAGATCAACAGAAGCCTCCAATATTTTCTTACTGATGGAGAATTTTCCTTTATATAAATTTAATAAGACTATCACCAAAGGCATATGTAGGGGTATTAATTTAATTGTTCTATTTGTTTCATAATGTATACTATCATTATTTAGCTTCACAGTTGTATTAATGGTAAATGTCAGTCATAATTACTGCAGAATATTAATCATCACACTCACTTCACATACTGAGTGTCTGTGGTTTAATCATAACCTCATTACAGAGCAAAAAATTGATGTGAGGGATCTGGGAGTGATAATGTCAGAGAATCTCACTTTCAAAGATCACAACAATGTCTTTACTACATCTGTTAGGAAAATGATAGGATGGATAATGAGAACTTTGGTTTTGTAATACTAGAATAATTATTGGTATATAAATATTAACCTGTTTCTGGTGATGAAAAATTGCATTAAAATGTGACTATAAAGGTTGTTAGTTTAGTATGAAAGTTAAAATATGTTTTGTATTATAAAAGTTATTTTTTATCTATGCAGTGGTTGACAGACAGAAAAAGAAGACAACTATCAAAAAGAGATGTTGGTAAGTATTAGATACAGTGTTAGCATTTGCATTATTGTTTGTCCTGTAGTGTATAATTTCTGTAAATACAAATGCAAGTGCAGTACATTATTTACTTTTTTTTTTATTAACACATCAGCCATTTCCCACCAAGGCAGGGTGGCCTGAAAAAGAAAGACTTTTATCATTCACTCCATCACTGTCTTGTCAGAGATGTGCTTACATTACAGTTATAAAACTGCAACATTAACACCCCTCCTTCAGAGTGCAAGCACCGTACTTCCCATCTCCAGGACTCAAGTCCAGCCTGCTAGTTTCCCTGAATACCTTCGTAAATGTTACTTTGCTTACACTTCAACAGCACGTCAAGTCCTAAAAACCATTTGTCTCCATTCACTCCTGTCTAACATGCTAACGCACACTTGCTGGAAGTCCAAGCCCCTCGCACACAAAATTTCCTTTACCCCCTCCCTCCGACCTTTTCTAGGCCGACCCCTACCCCGCCTTCCTTCCACTACAGATTTATACACTCGAAGTCATTCTATTTCCTTCCATCCTCTCTACATGTCTGAACCACCTCAATAACCCCTCCTCAGCCCTCTGGATAATAGTTTTGGTAATCTCGCACCTCCTCCTAATCAAACTATGGATTCTCTGCATTATATTCACACCACACATTGCCCTCAGACATGACATCTCCACTGCCTCCAGCCTTCTCCTTGTTGCAACATTCACCACTCATGCTTGCCCTTGGTTATGAAAATACGAGTCTCGTACCAGCAGTATATCAGTCGGAATCAGTAAGTCTTTCAGACTTCTTGCTCCTTCACCACACATTCCATCCACAAAGTCTCTACCTGCTTGATGGTTCTGGGTATTATTGCCCCTGTCAAGCTGTTTTTGCAGTATGCAGTCTTATGTAGATATCACTGTTTGACTGTTCAGGAACAGTTGTCAGTAAGTTATGAAGTTCTTTATTGAAGACAGTTGGTGGTCTGTCGGCAGTTTCCCTTTTATTTGAATGGATGAAGTTGAAAAGCCCTGGGCCCTAAAGCTTTTTGACACCTAATTTTACAAACTAATATCTATTTTAGTACTTCAGCTCAGTTTCAGTGCTTCACTTGTAGCTTTGATGTACTTAACCCCTTTTCCCAGGATTCATCCAACATTAGTCAACTACAGTGGAACCCCGTTAAACGACCAGCTCCCTACTTGAACTAAGCTCAGCTCTCGACTAAATAAATGCGACCTACCAGAACTTTGCTGTAAACTATTTCATGTTTCTTCGCATTTTTTGGTGTTTTTTGTATTATTTGTATATATGTCACCATGGGGCGTACAACAATTAGTGGTAACAGCCAACCAAACAGAAAATTGGTTGGGAAGAACGTGTTCGACACTCAAATGGAGCAGCACTTGAACAGCCTTCTGGGATGAATTAAGGTCGTATACCAAGGTTCCACTATACGTATGTGTATTCCGGTCTCCGTGTAACTGGGATTATGTATTTCATAATCCAGGTCTCTTGTTCCTCATTGCACATGATTTGATTAGTGCAGAGTGCAGCATGAGTTTATGATGCAGTTATTAATATTGAAGATTTGAAGGAAATCAGAAGAGGCATGCATAAGCTATTACGTATATGGAAACTAATATCCAAATTTCTTCATTAAAAATTGTAAATTAGGACATATGATCCTGCTCTTATGAGGGATTGTTTCAGTGTGCATATTTGGAACTACTACCTCTGTTATTCTTTGCATATGCTTGCCCTCCATAGAGCACAAATTGAAGGATATTAGGCATTTCCAGTCTGGACTGCAATTTTGTCTTAAACAGGGTGGGCCAACAGTAGGCTTACACTCAGTAGGTATGCACTTAACACCTGCACCTGCTCAGCATTTTCACACTTTCAATACTGCTTTAGTTTTGGAATGCTGGTTTGGAATAATGGTTTGGAATAATGGTTTGGAAAAATGGGTTGGAATAATGGTTTGGAATAATGGTTTGGAATTATGGTTTGGAATTATGGTTTGGAATTATTGTTTGGATAAATTAAATCGAAAACGTGAGCAAATAGTGAAACAACTGTAAACTTACTTTTGGCCCACCCTATATATTACACTACTGTATTATTATTGGTTGCATTTCTTAAAACTTTTGTTTTCTAGCCTATCATTTTCCTCTCAGTTGTGATAGTGTAACGGTGTTGTGTTCTTTAACACAAAAAAAAAAATACTCTGACTTGTTACCCACAGATCCTTAACACATCTATTCTGCCTTAAGAAGTGGTTTAACGATGGTTCGACTTGCAATATTTCAACTTTATGATAATGTGATAGCGAAGTGTATTCACTCCTATCCAGTACTGTAATACTATATATTTATTAATAGGATAAACTTGTATTCATTTATTTACTTTTCAATACTGGTATTTAGTGTTGTTTTTTTAACACATCAGCCATCTCCCACCAAGGCAGGGTGACCCAAAAGAAAGAAAAACCCAAAAAGAAAGAAAAAAAAACTTTCATTATCAGTCAACACTTTCACTATCACTCATACATAATCAGTGTCTTTGCAGAGGCGCCCAGATACGACAGTTTAGATAGTCAGTCCAAACTGCCAATATCCCAAACCCCTCCTTTACAGTGTAGGCATTGTACTTCCCATTTCCAGGACTCAAGTCTGGCTAACCACTTTCCTTGAATCCCTTCACAAAATATTATATATTTATTTATATATTTATTTACTTATTCAGTGACAGTAGCTATTTATTTGTTTATCATATCATACTCAACTTATGATGGATTCATTGAAATGTAACCCCATCATTAGTTAAGAAGCACCTGTTCTAGCTTTATCTCTTGAGTTTTTACCATGGCAGAGTAGCATATCCAGCTTTTAACCTCTGTCTTACTTTCATATTCTACTTCCTAATTATTATCCCAGCTGAATAATGTTTTCTGGTATCTGAACTTATAGCATAAAATATTTCTCTCTCTCTCTCGACTAACATTTCATTAAGATTTCCAATACAGTACTCTATATACATAATTTTGAAAATTAAGACTTATATTCTTATCAGTATGTAGTTACAGCATCCTACTGCACTTAACCCTTTGACTGTTTTGGTCGTATATATACGTCTTACTAGCCACCGTTTTTGACATAAATTCTAGCGGCTTCAAATCAAGCAGGAGAAAGCTGGTAGGCCCACATGTGAGAGAATGGGTCTGTGTGGTCAGTGTACACCATATAAAAAAATCCTGCAGCACGCAGTGCATATTGAGAAAAAAAAACTCCGACCTTTTTTTTTTTAATTAAAATGCCGAATTTGTGGTCTATTTTCGTATAGTATTTATGGTTGTATTCTCGTTTTCTTGGTCTAATTTGATAGAATGGAAAACATATTATAGAAATAGAGGTGATTTTGATTGGTTTTACTATGAAAAGAACCTTAAAATGGAGCTCAAAGTAGGGGAAATGTTTGATTTTTGCTGATTGTTAAAAGTAAACAAATGATGTCATTTTCCAATAAATGTCCAAGTAGCCATTCTAATATGCAGTCATGAATGGGTTGACATTATTTATACAATTACTACAATATTGCAGTAGTCTGCATAACAGTAATTCTTCTATTTTTTGTTTGAATAAAAATTACCCCTCTGATATTACCAAGAGTAATATCCTAGGGGCCTGGAGATGTGACTGATGAACAAAGAAAATGTTATTTTAGAGCCAGGAATGTCTGCACGGTTAATTCTGGACCCTATTTTGAAATTGTCATATTTTTAAATTTTCGTGAAATTGGCCAAATTGCAAATTTCTGACCACATTATTGGGTAGTTGAAATCAGTAAATGGGCAGTTTCTTGTACTAAATCGATAGAAAAAATGGAGTTCTAAAGAAATAGCTATGAGTTTGGTCGACTGGAACAATGGAATTAGCCAAAAATAGGGCTCAAAGTGGGCGAAATCGCCAATTCGTTAATATCGCTGAGGCCGCTAACTTCGCGAGAGCGTACTTCCATCAGTTCTCTATCAGATTTCATTCTTTTGGTGTCATTACAATCTGGAAAAGATTCTCTATCATTTCATAGGAAAAACTAATTTTTTTTTTTTTTTTTTTTTTTTTTTTTTTTTTTTTTTTTTTTTTTTTTGAAATTTTGTGACACCAGGAGACACCTGAGGATTTGGGGTTGCGACAGTCAAGGGGTTAATCTGTTCCAGAGAGTGTGACTAAAGGCGAATTTGACGATTTCCGAATTCATTTTCCAGATAAGAAATAATGAAAATCCAATTAATCCATTCCAGACACCCAAAAGTATAAAAAAAAATTGTTTTACATGAAATATACATTTACATACACAGAAAACAATGATACATGAAGAATAAAACAATAATAACATGACACTTACCTTTATTGAAGACTATTCTTAATGTATTGAAGACGGGATGAGGGGAGAGGATGGAGAAATTACCGTTTGGAAGGGGAATCCCCTTCCATAAAGACTTCAGGTACCAAGTCCTTTTTTGGGGTTACTTCAGTTCTTTGTTTTTTAATGCCACTAGGACCAGCTTGAGTCACTGGACCCCCTGTTGCTCAAAAAAGTGTTCCACAGAGGTCTGTTTCTGGCGTATGTTAGGATTTGTGGCAGTGGCAGGGGAGTGTGTTTGGAGTCGGGACAAGGTAGACCTTCAATATGGCACTAATATCAACTCTGCGGCTTATTTATCTAGCACAGTTCATCTAATATGACATAATAAATAATATTAATAACATAAAAACATGATATATACTCTAGAATGAATAAAATATGGCATTAATGCTACAGTTTATTGCTTGCTAGCACTATAGCCTTTATCGACTCCTGCTGCTTTAGTATCGTACATATCTCAGAATCACTGAAGAAAGCACATTCTCCCCTCTCTCTCAGCCCTTTACCAAAGGGCTGACTGGCACTAGGAACTTTCTTTGGGCCCATGGTGGCTTATTTAGCAGTTGCAAGCACTAAAAAGAATGGAATATTACGAAATGTATCGTATGAATGCGTGGGGTGACTGTCACTCGCTGATAAACAATGGCAGACTGACTGTGAATGGTGTGGAATGGTGTGTGGGGCTGCTTGGGCCGCTCGTACGCATTTGAGACGAATGACCATTACTGAGCTATATGACGATCACCGAGCCAATATTTTTATGAAGAAACGTTACGATTACCGAATACTATTACGAAATCCGACAACTACGATATCCGGAGTCCACTGTAATTTATCACGTTTTTCGGTATTCATTTTCATGCTCTGGGCCTTTTAAAGCTTTCACTACTCATTGTCATATAATTTTTCAGCACAGCCTCTCCTCACTTAGCGATGTACTCGTTAAACGATGACTCGGCCTTACGACAGGCTGTCTGACCAGTAAGCATATCTAAATGATGTATATTAGAGCTGATTTCCTCTATTCTGTTTATTACAATATATATGTACAGCACACTACTGTATACACATTTAAAAATGTGCTAAAAATGTTATAAATGGTGCAAAGGTGACATTAACACAACATTAAAGATGGTTGACACAAACCCACTACCATTACAGTATGCTCCTCACTTAGCGACAAATTCATTTACTGACGTGGTCTTAGGAACAGAACTCCGTCGTTAAGTGAGGAGAGGCTGTATTCTTAAAAGAATTTCATCGTCATTATATGTCAAATCTTTACCTGATCTATCATTATCATTTTGTATATGCAGTTTCCCGAGTACTGTATTCTAAAACAGAACATTCTACTGCAATTTTTCCATTTACTAATTTCATTTGAGCCATACTATATTTACACTTTGTGAGTTAATCGCACATCTGTTTCATTCGTTTAATACTCTACCATGTTTCCAAATTTCTATGCATATTATTCATACACATTAAGCTCTTGTCTGCCCTTCATCCTAACCAACTTCAATTACTACATTATCCATACAATCAAATTTTATGCAGCCTCTCCTCACTTAACAGCGGAGTTCCATTCCTAAGACTACGTTGGTAAATGAATTCATCACTAAGTGAGGAGCATGCTATAATGGTAGTGGGTTTGTGTCATCCATCTTTGATATTGTTTTAATGTTGCCTTTGCATCATTTATAACATTTCTGGTATATTCTTAAATGTTTATACAGTAGTATATTGTATATTGTAATAAACAGAATAGAGGAAATCAGCTCTAATATACATTATTTAGATATGTATACTGGTCAGAGAGCCCATCGTAAGTCCGAGGCGTCAGTAAACAAGTATGTTGCTAAGTGAGGAGAGGTTGTACATATTTTATTGCATATTTTTTAATATTGGCAAAGTGTTGTAGTTTCTTGTGCATTTTATATCATTCCACCTCTATTCCTAACAAATTATTCTACTGTTAGTATACACTGGACCTGTTTAGCATGAGTCAGCAGGCCTACTGCATTGCTTCTCTATTCTTATAATTTTATATTTATTTCATGGGGGAGTGCTAAACCCATAGGGGTCATACAGTACCTTGGGTATGGTATGACATCAGATTTGGTCCAAGGAGGAGGAGGGCAGCCTCAATTCTTTGGATCAAGAGCCCTTCACTACCATCAAGGCATTTCCCTTGATGAGCCATATTTCATAAATCATCACTGCCTGTCAGCTTTTCAAATTCTTACATACTTATGAGTACATTTTTTTTTTTGTGTGTGCTTGCTTTGCGACTGGTGGATGAAGGAGCGAGCACTTAACTCTGATATTAACCCTCCTCTCAAACATCTCCTTGCCAACCTCAACAGAACACATGACCATAACACAAGGCACAGATCACTCTTTGATGTTCCTCGTGTCCATCTCACACTATGCAAAAACTCAATGCACATAAAAGGCCCTAAAATCTGGAATTCATTACCTGTAAATATAAAAGAAACACTACCTGTTTATAAATTCAAGTCTCTTCTCAAAGATCACTTACTCACCCAAAACCAAATAAATACTGAATAACTGAACCTTATAAATTGTATATCTTAAATGTTTCTCACAATTATATCACATAAATGTTAAACCTAAAACCCAATCTAACCTTATTATTTTTTAAATACACTACCTAACAGAATATTCCATTCGACTGAATGTACAGCAATGCATGCAACCATAGGACCTGTCTTTGTAATACTCATTTGTGCTTTATAGTTATCTGTTTACAATAATGTTTTATCACTGATTTCATCATTGCTTAGTTAATCTTAAGCTAATTTTAAGCCAGCCCATAATGCTATGCATATAAGTGGCTTTGGCATGCTGCTCTTACCTGTATTTTTTTGTACTTCTGTATGTATGCTCAAATTACTAAATAAATAAATAAATAAATAAATACTTCACATAAATAAAAATCCTTAGTGCTATTTTTACTAATAAGTATGAATTTTTTAATGATTTTGAAAGTGAATTTTTTGTATCAGCTATATAAATTGCAATTTCTGTATTGAAGTGCTTTTGTAATATATAACATTAGTGCATGTATTATCAACACGACTTTTTTCAGAATTTCGACGGAGGATAGAATTAATCCAGGATTTTACTATGCCTGATGTAAGTGGCTGCGTACGTGTATCTCCAGATGGCCGGTATATTTTAATCACAGGAACTTACAAGCCAAGAGTAAAATGCTATGAAGTTGCTGCACTTTCTCTTAAATTTGAGAGATGTTTTGATGCTGAAGTCGTTCAGTTTGAGATTTTGTCTGAAGACTATAGCAAGGTTAGCTTGATGTTATAATATACTGTACCAGTACAGTATATGATTTCTTTGTCTTGTTAAAATGCATATATTATTACAATACAGTATTCATAAATTTATTATTTTATTTAATATATATGTTGATCTCTTATTTGGGTCACCCTGCCTTGGCAGGTGATGGATGATGAGTGAAAAAAAAAAAGTTGATCACTTGTTAATTAAAGGCTTTTGTTGTATGGTATTCTTTTAAAGAAGCAGGTTTTTCAAACTAAACAATACTGTTAAATCTTGTTTCAGCTGGTTTTCTTACAAGAGGGAAGGTATGTTGAGTTTCACAATCAAGGAGGGCGTTGGTTTCGGACACGAATTCCAAAATTTGGACGTGACTTGGCCTATCATTATCCCTCTTGTGATCTCTATTTTGCTGCATCAGGGTGAGTATTATTTGGCTGTAAGATTAAACTACAAAATATAATGGGATTTTGCTTAAAAAGTAAATTTGTTTAAATGTAAGCTCCTCTGTATAGTTCAGTTTTTCATAAATACAATTGGAAAATTGGAAAATGTCAAATTGAGAAGTTTATGTAGATTGAAGTGTCACCAATGAATTGAGTACAAAGAATGAATTCTTTGCTGGGGTGCAAAAAGTTCCTTATAGTCTGTATACTATAATGTATCTTCATTATATCTTCCAAAAATTTTATTAGTAGGAGTCCTCTTAAAAGTTAGTTGTTATTTATATATTATTAACTTTCCAGGAGTGATATATATCGATTAAATTTGCACCAAGGCCGGTTCTTGAACTCTCTGCAGACAGATGCCCCAGGTGTAAACAAATGTGTTTTTAACAATGTCCATTACCTCTTTACCTGTGGGACTGAAGATGGTAGAATTGAGGCTTGGGACCCAAGATCAAGACACAGAGTTGGAGTGTTAGACTGTGCAATGCATATGGCTACAGAAAACATTCAGTAAGTCTTCTCATTGAATGAATGCATATATAAATTACCGTTAAAATGAGTTAAGAATGTTTTAAAATAAGGCAGAGTACTTCTTTCTTTCAACAAACCAGCCATATCCCACCGAGGCAGGGTGGCCCAAAAAGAAAAACAAAAGTAAGGCAGAGTACTAAGGCTACTTATTGTCACTGTGGCTGTTCACTATAATTAGATGCTACATGACTTAATTCAAAAGTGATAGTAAGAATATTTGGGATAGATTACCATAAGGTAAAGTGATAGAAAATTAGTTTAGTTAATTAGAAGTATAAGTTAGGCTTATACTGTAAAGGGCCTAGAAGAATTTTTATAGTAAATGCTAGTAGAGTAAAATTTTTATATTCATAATAGAAGAACTGTAGTGTATTGTTAACTCAGTTGGTAAAAATTGTATGTCTTGAGTGAATTGAGAAAGTTTGGATAATTATATGACAGAATTGGCAATTAGAAATAAAATTATATTCTGTATATTCTTGAGCATGAATTGAAGTTTTAATTTTACTTACCTTATGTTTTAATTTTTCAGGTTAGGCAGTTACAAGTCAGTGAAGCAACTGGGCATTACGGCTTTAGCCTACAATGACACGCTCACATTGGGTGTAGGCACACAAACTGGACAGGTAAAGTGTTTGTTTTGTGAAGCTGTGGGATATAAAAAAGCTACCTCTGATTAGACTGCAAAGGACAGATTGGGGTATCAGTACCTTTTACCTCTTTTTTTTTTAAGGAAGTTTTAGGTCAACTAATATGGTCGTTGTTTCTTTACTATGGTTGTTTCTTTACTATCTATAATCTTTTATATGTTAATAGTAGCAAAAGTTACACATTGAAAAATCTAATAGGAATTTTTGTCACTGACCATCTTTAAATTAATTACAGTTGAAATTTGAAATAAATCCAAACAGAATTTTTACATTTCATGATTGTCACAAAAACATAACAATGCATCATTCAGTTACCTTCAGGAATAAAAGTGTGCCAAGAAAAAAGTTGAATGCAGTAAACATGTAAAAAGAGAAATAAGAAATTAATAATGTTTAAAAATTTGGTGGGAAATACGTTTATGGGTGATATCAACAAAGATGTTTCATTCATTTGTTTTACTTATGTTCTTTGTGTTTGTGGCCTTTTGTGGAACCAAACTGAATTACACTTCTTATATTAACTCTTTTCTATTTGATTTTATTCCTTCAGGTGCTGCTTTATGATATCCGTTCAGACAAACCACTGTTGATAAAAGATCATAATGATGGATTTCCTATTACGGATCTGGAGTTTCATAATTCAGCAGGGTTAGTTCTCTCCATGTCTCCCAAAATTGTCAAGATTTGGAACAAAGATACAGTAAGTAATGTAAAGTATCATTGTCTTTATAATTATAGGTAGATTCAGTGATTTTCGTAGTTGCTAAGATAAATTGATGTAATAAGAACATAAGAAAGAAGGAACACTGCAGCAGGCCTACTGACCCATGCAAAGCAGGTCCATCCCTCCCCCATCCTGGATTAGCCCAATGACCCACCTATTCAGGTCACTTCCACTTAAGGAAGGAGCAAGGCATCAGACCTAGTAGCACAATACACACCCACCCACACCCACTCATGTATTTATCTAACCTATTTTTAAAACTACACAACGTTTTAGCCTCTATAATTGTACTCGGGAGTTTGTTGCACTCGTCCACAACTCTATTACCAAACCAGTACTTTCCTATATCCTTCCTGAATCTGAATTTTTCCAACCTGAAACCATTGCTGCAAGTCCTGTCTTGGCTGGAAATTTTCAGCACGCTATTTACATCGCCTTTATTTATGCCTGTTTTCCATTTATACACCTCGATCATATTCCCCCTAATTCTATGCCTTTCGAGAGAGTGCAGATTCAGGGCCTCAGTCTATCCTCATAGGGAAGATTTCTGATACATGGGATCAACTTTGTCATCCTCCTCTGTACGTTTTCCAGTGCATTTATATCCATTCTGTAATACGGTGACCAGAACTGTGTAGCATAATCTAAATGAGGCCTAACCAAGGATATATAGAGTTGAAGAACAACCTGAGGACTTCAATTATTTATACTTCTAGACATGAAGCCAAGGATTCTGTTAGCTTTATTGCAAACACTGATGCATGGTTGTCTTGGTTTTAGATTATTGCTAACCAGAACTCCTAAATCCGTTTTGCAATCAGTAGTATTAAGATCTCCATTATTTAGCTTATATGTGGCATGGTTATTTTCCTGTCCAACATTTAGAACTGCATTTGTCTATATTAAACTGCATCTGCCACTTCTTCAACCATTGCATCAGTCTGTTCAGATCATCCTGGAGTGCTCTAGTGTCCTCATTAGAATGAATTGGCTTGCCTATTTTGGTGTCATCAGCAAATTTGCTTATGTCACTATTTATTCCCTTATCTATGTCGTTTATGTAAATTGTGAACAACAACGGGCCCAACAATGGCCCCTGCGGAACACCGCTAGTGAAGTGCCCCCATTCTTATTTCTCCCCATTTATGCAAACTCTCTGCTGCCTATTTGTCAACCATGCCTCTACCCAGGAAAAAAATTCTCCTCCTATTCCATGTGTCTTAAGTTTCCTCAATAGCCTCTGATAGGGAATTCTATCGAAAGCCTTACTGAAGTCCATATACACAATATCATATTCATTACCATGATCTACCTCCTCAAACACCTTAGTGAAAAATGTTAGTAAATTCGTAAGACAGGAACGCCCCTTTGTAAAACCGTTTTGAGATTCATTAACCAATTTATGCCTATCAAGATCGCTATGAATTGCTTCAACAATTATTGATTCCATAAATTTTCCCACTATGGAGGTAAGGCTTATTGGTCTATAGTTTGAAGCTAAGGACCTGTCACCTGCCTTGTAAATAGGTATTACTTTTGCCATTTTCCACTTATCAGGCACTATGCCAGTTTGTAGTGATATGTTAAAAAGATTAGCCAAAGGTATGCTAAGTTCCTCTTTACATTCCATTAACACCCTTACAAATAGTTCATCAGGGCCTAGGGATTTGTTAGGTTTTAACTTCTCTATTTGTCTGAGGACCATGTCACTAGTTACTGCAATTGTGCATAGTTTATTATCATCCTGTTCTACATAATCTATTATTTCTGGAATTTTGCTAGTATCTTCCTGAGTAAAAACTGAGAGGAAGTAAGTATTGAAAATTTCACACACATCCTTATCACTGTCAGTGATTTGACCTGAGTTACTCTTAAGTGGACCTATCTTGTCCCTAATCTTACTTCTGTATACCAGAAAGAACCCTTTTGGGTTAGTCTTCGAATACCTTGCGACCTTAGCCTCATAATCCCTTTTTGCTTTTCTTAATATTTTTCTTTTATTTCTCTCTTTAACCTTTTCAGGGTCCGTGCCGTAGATCTACGGCTTTACGTTGAGGGTCCAAACCGTATATCTATGCCATGAGCTCAGCTCACTCTGATAAGCTGTGAGCGGTAAATTTGGGCCTAGATATGAGTGAATACATCTATGTGGTATGTGTGCACCACATAAAACAAATCCTGCAGCACACAGTGCATAATGAGAGAAAAAAACTAAGACTAATTTTCGATTAAAACAGCGACTTTGCAGTGTTTTTCATATGTTTTTTGTAGTTGTATTTGCAATTTCTTGGTCTCATTTGATAGATTGGAAGATATATTACAGAAATAGAGATAATTTTGATTGGTTTTATTACTGGAAATGGTTTGAAACCGAGCTCAAAGTAGCGGAAATGTTAAATTTTTGCAGATGTTCAAGAGTAAACAAATGACCTCACACGTCCAATACACGCCAGCTGGTGGGTCTAATATATGTTCACATATGTGGTGATATTATTTATACAATTATTACATTATGGCATAACAGTAAATCTTCAATTTTTTGGTTTGAATAAAAATTCATTATGTGAATAAAATAATCAAAACGGAATTCATTTGTAAAGCATGAAAACATAACTAATGAACAGAGGAAATGTTAGCTTAGTGCCAGGAATGCCTTCTTTGTTTATTCTGGACTCTATTTTGAAATTGGAATATTTTGAACTTTGCATTAAATTGGCCAAATTACCAATTTCCGATCACTTTATTTTGTAGTTGAAACAGTTGACTTGGCGATTTCTTGTGCTCAATCGATAAAATAGAAGTAATACTAGTGAAATAGCTAAGAATTTGGTCGACTGGAATAATGTAATTGGCCCAAAATGGGAGTCAAAGTCGGCAAAATCGCCGATATGTAAATATCGCTGACATATCAAAATTTGTGAGAGCATAATTTCGTCAATTTTCCATCAAATTTTGTACTTTTTGTTTTATTACCTTCAGAAAAAGATTCTCTACCATTTCATAAGAAAAAATAGCAATTATTTTTTGAAAATTTTTGGATACTGGTGCACTTAGAAATTTAGCCTCTGGACCCTGAAAGGGTTAATTGAATATAATGTATTGATTACTTAACTGCCCATCCCCTCTTTTGATACACCTATATATGCTTCTTTTTTGGCCACTGAGATGTTTTAATCTATTGTTCATCCATGTGGGATCATTTCGGTTAGATCTACTTTCTCTACTTGGAACAAAAGTTGTCTGGGCAGCTAGAACTATGCTCTGAAAAATGTCATATTGGCAACCAAGATCACCTTCCTGACCCATAGTCAGGTCATCCCAATTTAGCCCACCCAGGTAATTTTTCAGTCCCATGAAATCGGCCAAGCGAAAGTCTTGGACAGAGATTTGATTGCATTTTTCTTGGTAATTCCATGATATACTGAAACTAAGTGATTTGTGATCACTTTTCCCCAGCTCATCATTAACCTCAAGATTATTAATTAGTGATTCTTTGTTGGCAAGAACCAAGTCAAGCAGAGTGTTTCCTCTAGTTGGTTTTGTCACAAACTGTTTTAAAAAGCAATCCTGGACCGTATCAAGAAAGTCACTAGACTCAAGGGTTCCTGTTGTATTGTTCCAATCAATTTGTCTAAAGTTAAAATCTCCCGTTAACACAAAATTTTCATATCTAGATGCCTTATGAATTTCGTCCCATAACAGCTTACTGCACTCCCTATCAAGGTTTGGGGGCCTATAAATCACACCTAAAATTAATTTGTCACGACCCTCGAAAAACTGTAGCCAAACATTCTGTGTCCGATGTTTCTAATCTTATATCATGTCTAAGACAACAATTTAAATTATCTCTGACATACATCGCCACTTCCCCAGCCCTCCTGTTGACCCTATCAGTGTGGATTAGTTTTATAACCCATCTGTAGCATACAGAAGTGTATTTCTCTATCTTGTTAAAAAAAAAATCTATATTACCTGTACTTGCAAGTAATCTTAGCTCATCTATCTTATTTCTTAGACTCCTACTATTTGTGTAGTAAACCTTCAGAGAGCTAGTCACTCGTTGCCCTCTACTATCTCTCTTTGTTTGTTGATCAATTGATTTGCCTTTACTAGCAACTTTATTTTGAATATTGTCTTTTAAACACATCCCTGAGGTATCCCTGTAATATCTGCTGTTTTCAACCCTAATTCTTCAGCCAATTAGACAATAGACATACAGGTGGGCCCTGCTTTACAGGGCTTCACGTTGCAGCATTTCGTTAATGCAGTTATACCCATTCTTCATTTATTCAGACTTCCTACAATAAATACTTTTGTCCTTAGCTATTAAGCTAAGGGCAAAAATATTTTAAGGTATGTAATGTTCCCTTACACTTAGGGTCCCCTCACTACACTTGCATGGTATAAGCATATATATACACACCCCTCTGGGTTTTCTTCTGGTTTCTTACTAGTTCTTGTTCTTGTTTATTTCTTCTTATTTCCATGGGGAAGTGGAACAGAATTCTTGCTCCGTAAACCATGCCTGTTGTAAGAGGCGACTAAAATGCCGGGAGCAAGTGGCTAGTAACCTCTTCTCCTGTATACATTACTAAAGTTAAAAAAAGAGAAACTTTTGTTTTTCTTTTCTTTGTTTTTGGTGGGATGCAGCTAGTTTATTGAAAGAAGAAGAACGTAATGTGTGTATTGAATATGCACATTTAAGGCCTAGCTCTATTGTTCATTTAATATATGATAGTGTAAACATGTTATCAGGCTTTTACATACATTGAAAAGTGAGAAAAGACTGTTTCATTTTACAGCAATTTTTGCTTTACAGTGGTAGCCTGGAACCTAACCTACACTATTCAGAGTGTAGTGCCTACACTCTGAATAGTAGGTGGGGATGTTGACATTTCGAGGGTCATTTAAGTTGAGATTTATGGCACTTGTGGCAATTGTCTGATTAACACAAGCGTCATAATGGGTTAAGAAAATGCATGGCTCTTCTTGTTCATTGCATTACAAATGATGCTCTTGAACAAGTACACTGTATAGATTATCAAATCTTCACTGAACTATAATGGGAAAAAATTTTATCTTATGAAGCATCAAAATATCTTGTGGCCATAATTTTGAGGCAGGAAGCTTAAAAATTTTATGACTTGGTACTCTGTCTTTTCTTAAAAGTTATGTGAATAATCTGTTGTCCTGGAGTTTTAGATAGATTATTTGAAGCACAATGTTTTTTGTATTTTGCACGTACAAACCATATAACTGGCCATAAGGTCAAGGTAACATTTCACTCAAAATTATCATAGTTTTGTCTAAAACCAAAAGAAGTTGAAAGGAATAACTGCATGTCCGCACATATAGAGTAATTTTTTTTTTTCATCAGCAGTCACACGAGCAGTGTTTTCACCTCTGACAGAAAGTGGTCATAATGTTTTGTCATATAAATTAACACCCAGGAGTCACAGGTCTCTCCACAGATGGGGTAAATGAGTGTTTCCTTCTGCATCAGCAGTCAAACCATTCACTTTTTTTGGCATATTTGTCTGTCCTCTTCTCACCAGGTTAAAGATATAAAAAATGAGGTAATGTTCTAGAAAATTTGTTTCTATCCCTTGTCACAAGTTCTGGTTATGTTTATATGAAGAAGATGCCAATGATATAGAGGAAGACCGCCAGACTGGTGATGCCAAATCACAATACCAATAATTAACCATCAAAATTTCAGCATTAATACAATAAAATAATTTTTTAATATTAATGAGCATAATTCCAGAAAGCTTTTATATTTCATTCTTTCAATCCTCTTGTATTTTTACACCATATGGAACAGGTATGAATATACAATTTTCCGAGCTTATAACTGTATTAATACTTTTTAGGCCACCACTTGGTTCCATAACACATCTAAACAATACAGTAACAATCCACCAATTCTATGTATTGGCCAAACAACTGTGTTTGGATTGATTTCCAGTTGCCATTATTATTCTAGCACAAAATGCTCTAATGACAATTACTGGTACCTGGAAATTAAAGTCCCTATCACAACCCACCCACAAGAAGTCGAAACAAGGTATCAGTCGGAAGGTGAGGGCCCAATTGATGGTGCCATTATGCCACCTTCCATCTGTCCAGTAAGTCAGATGTTATCATAACCATGCGCTCATCATATGCACAGAGGCACTACAATTTTTATAATATATTTACCAATTGTAGGAGTTGAAAGAGTTATTGCAGCCCAGCAAGTGAGTATTGTTCGATTAAGGGTTGAAATATCCAGAGTTGAGATTTGTTAGAGTTGAGGGGAACGAACCAACCAGCCAAGCCATTCCAAACCCGTCAACCTTACAGAAAACAACAATGATAAGACACACATACAACAGTAAGTTCTTTTATTTCTTTCAACAAGTTGGCCATCCTCCCACAGAAGGCAGGGTGAGCCCCAAAAAAAGAAAAACCATAAAAGATCAAAAATTTTCATGCATGTAGGTAGTGGGTTGGTAGACAGCAACCAGCCCAGGGAGTATTTACCGTCTTACCGTCCTGCCAAGTGAGTGTAAAACAAAGCCTGGTAATTGTTTTATTACCTGTGTAGGATTGCTGGTGTAACTTTTTTCTGTCCATACACATGCAAGAGTTTCGGTACGTTCATGCTACTTCTACTTACGCTTAGTCACACTACACAATTACATGTACAAGCATATACATGGTATATACACAACCCCTCGGTTTTCTTCTAATTTTCTTTCTAGTTTCTTGTACTTGTTTATATCCTCTTATCCGCAGGGGAAGGGAACAAATTCTTCCTCCGTAAGCCAAGTTGTTTGTAAGAGAGGTGACGAAAATGCCGGGAGCAAGGGGCTAGTAACCCCTTCTCCTGTATAGAATTACTAAATTTAAAAGAGAAAACTTCCGATTTCATTTGGGCCACCTGCCTCTGTGGATATGGGTCTGGTTTGTAGACAGAAGCAGACATATATCTTTCTTTCAACACCCAAACCGCCGTATCCCACCAAGGAGGGTGGCCCAAAAAGAAAAACGAGAAGTTTCTCTTAAATTTAGTAATTTATGATGGGGAGGAAGGGGTTACAACCCTTGCTCCCGGCATTTTAGTTCGCCGCTCTTACAACACGCATGGCTTACGAGGAAGAAATTCTGTTTCCACTTCCCCATGGAGAATTAGAGGAAATAAACAAGAACAAGGAACTAAAAGAAATAGAAGAATAACCCAGAGGGTGTGTACACTCTACCATCCGACTTCCGATCGAGTTCGGTTCTGAAAACTGGTCGTAAGTCGAACTATACACTGAATATCAACAAAACAATTTTGTAATGACTTTATTTTATTTTTTTATTTGGTATTTCATGTTTTACTGTACTTTTGTATGCTGTTTAGTACTGTATTTTTATACTGTAAGTTTAGATAAACCACTTTGTACAACACAAAAAGTTGTTTATTTCCCAGAAATTTGCACTAAAAGCACGGTCGTAAGTCGATGGTCAGTCAAAAAAGTCGAGCAGGGGTCGTAAGTCGGAATGGTAGGTGTATATATATGCTTGTACATGTATGTGTGAGAGACCTAAGTGCATAGAAGTTGCAAACATACCTGAAATCATGCTATTTTTATGAACCAGTACAAAAGCACCAGCTATCCTACCAACATGTGCAACCAATTACAGGTTTTCGTTGTACACTCCTTGGCAGACTGTAGTACCATCCCTAGGTGGTTTGCAGTTTACCAACAACTAACTAATGAAATATATGTAACTAAACTTTCTTCTTTCTTCTTTCAACACACCGTCCGAATCACCACCGAGGAGGGGTGGCCCATGAAGGAAAAACTACAGTTTCTGCCTTTTAACATTAGTAATATATACAGGAGAAGAGGTTACAAGCCCCTTGCTCCCAGCATTTTTATCCGCCTCTTACAAACAGCGCAAGCGCTTACGGAGGAAGAATTCAGTCCACTTCCCCATGGAAATAAAGAGGAAATAAACAAAATAAAACTAGAAAGAAAATAGAAGCAAACCCAGAGGGGTGAGAGTATATATTGCTTGTACATGTATGTGTGTAGTGAGACCTAAAGTTTAATTAGAAGTAGCAAGACTACCTGAAATCTGCATGTTTCATGAGATCAGAAAAAAGGACACCAGCAAATCCTACCATCATGTAAAACAATTACGGCTTTCTTTTTACACTCTCCTTGGCAGGACGGTAGTACCGTCCCTGGGTGGGTTAGCTGTTTACCACCTACTATCTAGGGAATATTATATGTACTATCCGAATATATATATTATAGTCCCTCTGGGTTTTCTTCTATGTTCTTACTAGTCTTGTTCTTTTTCCTCATGATCTCAAAGAGGGAAGTGGAAACAGAATCCTACGCTATGTAAGTCCATGTGTGTTGTGAGAGGTGACGAACATCTGAAGCCAAGGTGCAGTTACCCCTTCTCCTATATACTTTACAAGTTAAAAGGAGAAACTTTTGTTCTTTTATTTTTGCGGCCACCACTGCTTCACAGTGTGATAGGGCCGGTTTGTTGAAATGAAGGAGAAACATGCAAATTTCAGTTAATCTTAGCTACTTCAACATAGACTTAGGTCACACACCCATGCATATACACGTTTATGTACACAACCATCTGAGTTTTTTTTTATTTTGATCTTAATAGTTCTGTTCTATATTACTTTTCCTTCATATCCATTGAGCAATGGAATAAGAATCTTTCCTCCGTAAGCATGCTTGTTGTAACAGACAACTAAAATTGCCATAAGCAATGGGCTAGAAACCCTATTCTTCTTTCTTTCCCGTATAACTTAATAAAAAGAAAAAAGAAGACAAACCGTCAAGTATCAGAGTATCTTATTGAAGAAAACATTTTTGCCGTACTCTGCGAATTCATCAGTTGAGAATACAGAAATAAAGATACCTAGTGTTACAGTCTTATTCATCAGTTTGCTGATACTGTATACCATGTAAAATAAGTTATGCATCCTGAGTATACTTTCGATATCATAAATACATTACTTCTCTCTCTTCAACAAAATGCAATTTTGCTATTATCTACTTATAAATCATCGACTGCATATATTTTTTCATGTTTTTTGTATTCTATCTACTTAATTAATTAAATGGGCATAATAATTTTTAAGATATATTTTATACTAAAATATTTGACTTTAGGTTGATAAATACATACGGTCTTACATCTTAATAATCTAATTGTTCATTTTACAGTTTTACATTCTAAAATCATAGTTTTATCTAACCTATCTACTATCGATATCATTGAAAGCAGTGCCAAATTAGTTATTATAATGACCTTACTTTGCGCAGGGAGCCCCCTCACATACCAGCATTGAGCTGTAGTGGACTCAATGTATGTGTTTAGTACCAAACTCTGGCATGTTTGTTTTTGACTACTGAGGGATGTTAAGATGCCAAACATATTTCCTACCATGTGAGTATTTTATTTCTGACTGTAAAAAACGAAACTGAGCATGTTGAATTAACTAGTCTAAGTTGTGTTGGGAGGAAAAAATTATTTTTAGAGAATTTTTTTCTGAGAAGTAAGGAATTGTGTATGGAGGCATGTAAAAATACCTTGTGCATCAAGATTTAGACAAGTGCACTTAAAATCGTTTATAGGTAGTATTTTGGAAGACCAGCCACCAACATCAGGGAGGTACTAAACCATCCTGCCAAGTGAGTGTAAAACGAAACCTGTAATTTGTTTTACATGAGGTAGGATTGCTGGTGTCTTCTTTTCTGCTCTTAAACATTCAAGATTTTCAGGTACAACTTGCTACTTCTACTTGCACTTAGGTCACACTACACATACAGTAATACAAGCATATATATACACACACCCCTGCTGGGTTTTTCTTCTATTTCCTTTCTAGTTTCTTGTTCATGTTTATTTCCTCTTACCTCCAGGGAAAGTGAATAGAATTCTTCCTCCGTAAGCCATGCGTGTTGTAAGAGCGACAAAACAATGCCGGAGCAAGGGCCTAATAACACCCTTCTGTATAAATTACAATTTAGAAAGAGAAACTTTTCGTTATTTCTTTTGGGCCACCCTGCCTTTGGTGATATGGCCGGTTTGTTAAAAAAAAAATTTAAAAAAGTTATAGGTAGTATGGGGGGCGGGGGGTTGGTACGAACAGCAAACCACTCAGGGAGGTACTACCATCCTGCCAGTGAGTGTAAAACGAAAGCCTGTAATTGTTTACAATAGATGGGTATGATTGCTGGTGTCCTTATTTCCGTTCTCAAAAACAGCAAGATTTTCAGTACGTCTTGCTCCTACTTCTACCTTATGTGATGAATGTTTTGAAAAAAACCGACAAGTTGAGATTGAGACACTTATGCAGCATATGGGAATTTTCTTTTATTTCCTACTCCTTAATATACGCCTCCTCTTTGTATGGACTGAATGAAGCCACTGTGTGGGCGAAACGTATCCTGAATAAAGGATTCCCAAGTGCGCATAAGTGACACCATCTTCTACCTGTCTACTAGGTCCACCTAACACGTACTACATGTACAAGCCATATATACACACACCCTTCTGGGTTTTCTTCTCTTATTTTTCCTTTCTATTCCTGTGCTTGTTTATTCTCCTTTAACCTTCCCAATGGGAAGTGGAACAGAATTCCTTACCTACCATAAATCCATTGAGCGTTGTATTGGTAAGAGGAGAGCGACAACAAAATGCGCCGGGGCAAGGGGCTAGTACCCCCTAGCTCCTGTATGAATTACTGAATTTAAAAAGCGAAACGTTCATTGTTTCTTTTTGGGCACCCTGCCCTTGGCTGGGAATTATGCCGGTTTGTCGAAAAAAAAAAGAAAAAAAAAATTTAAAATTATTGAAAAGAAGATAATTTTTATAACTCCTTTCAAGGTCCGTCCCAGATCTAACGGCTTTGCGTTCCAGTGTCCAAACCGTAATCTACGTCCATAAACAAATCCGCAGCACACTGTGTATAATGAGAGAAAAAAAACTGCAACCAAGATTTCGATTAAAACAGCAACTTTGCAGTGTTTTTTCGTATTTTTTATAGTTGTATTTGCAATTTTCTTGTCTCATTTGATAGAATGGAAGACATATTAACAGAAATAGAGATGATTTTTATGGTTTTAGCACTGAAATGCGCTTGAAACTGAGTCTCAAGAAGTAGCGGAAATGTTAAAATTTTTGTCGGGATGTTCAAGGAGTAAAACAAACGTCCTCACGACGTCTAATTCATGCCAGCTGTGGAACTAATACACATTCACAAATGTGGTGATGAAATTTATATACAATTATTACAATATTGCATAACAGTAAATCTTCTATTTTTGGAGTGAAATAGAAATTCATTATGGTAAATAAAAAAATAAAAATGGGAATTTATTTGTAAAGCCTCAAAACGTAACTAATGAACCGAGGAAATGTTAGTTTAGTGCCAGGAATGCCTACATTGTGTTATTCAGGATGTTTATTATGAAATTGGAAATACTTTTGAACTTTGCTGTTAAATTGGCCAAATTACCAATATTCACGATCACTTTATTTTTGTAGTTGAAAACAGTTACTTGGCGATTTCTTGTGCTCTATCGATAGAATAGAAGTAATACTAGTGAAATAGCTAAGAATTTGGTTGACTGGAATGATGTAATTGGCCTAAAATGGAAGTCAAAGTCGGCAAAATCGCCGATTCGTAAATATCGCTGACACATCAAAATTCGCGAGAGCATAATTTCGTCAGTTTTCCATCAAATTTCGTACTTTTTGTTTTATTACCTTCGCAAAAAGATTCTCTACCATTTCATAAGAAAAAATAACAAATTTTTTTTTTTTGAAAATTCTTGGACACTGGGGCACCACTTCAGATTTGGGCCTTGGACCCTGAAGGGGTTAAATAAAAGGATTTGTATGGTTCCCAGAGCTAGAAGAAATAAAAGTTACATAAACAAATTGAAATCATTGAAAATGTCCATGCTGATTTATTGGAGAAGGCATGACAATCACATATAAGATCTTGAAAGGGTATGAGAAAATACATTAAGATGCAGTAACATCAGCAGAGAACAAAAGGTCACAGTTGTAAATCAAGAAAAAATAAAGCCTCAAGATATTAGAAAATTGTTTCTTCATAAATAGTGAGGAAGAACAATAAGATTGGGTTCCACGAGCTCAGTCCTCACCTGTTCTGTGATTAGTGCGTTGAGATTATAGGAAACTAAAAGTTTTTGTAATTAATTAAATACTAAAGATGAGATACAATGAGTATTTCTCTGTTCTGTAACTATAACAACAAATGTGCATTGCAGGTAGGTAATCATGCACACATTAGAGAATTGTGATATCAGACAGAGAGGTTCAGCTCTTGACCTCACAACATACATAAGAATATAAGAAAGAAGGAGCACTGCAGCAGGCCTACTGACCCATGCGGAGCAGGTCCATCTCTCCCCCCGGATTAGCCCAATGACCCACCCAGTCTGGTCACCTCCACTCAAGGAAGGAGCACGGCACCAGACCCAGCAGCACAAGCTAGTCAGGTCCAACTCACACTCACCCACACTCACTCATCTATTTATCTAACCTATTTTTAAAACTACACAACGTTTTAGCCTCAATAACTGTACTCAGGAGTTTGTTCCACTCATCCACAACTCTATTACCAAACCAGTGCTTTGCTATATCCTTCCTGAATCTGAATTTTTCCAACTTGAAACCATTGCTGCGAGTCCTGTCTTGGCTGGAAATTTTCAGCACGCTATTTACATCTCCTTTATTTATCCCTGTTTCCCATTTACATATACACCTCGATCATAGTGGTATGGTAGGGCCCCGCTTTATGGCATTTCGCCTTACGGCGTTCTGCTAATACAGCGATTTCAAATTATGACCAAAATTTGCTATACGGCAAGTGGTCTTTCAAATACGGCACCCCACCCGATTTGTTTACATTCTCCATGAGCACATCTATTATGTCTGGAAACTTTCCAAAATTTCAAGTGTTTTAACCCTTTGAGGGTTGAGAGGCCCTCTCCCAAACTCATTCTCAGGGTCAAAAAATTTAAAAAAAAATAAATTATTTTTTCTCGTGAAATGATAGAGAATCATTTTCTGATCATAATGACACCTAAAGTATAAAATTTGATGAAAAACTTAAAGAATTATGCTCTTGCGAATTTAGCGGTCTCAAGTTGGCATTACCCCCACTGTGGGACCTTTTTTGGGCCCCAATTCCCAATTTGCAGTTGACTAAAACATGTTTTTTTCCCCTAGAACTCCATTTATTCTACGTTTGAGTACAAAAAAACGCTCATTTACGATTTAAAACACCCAATGAAGGGTCAAAAAATTTGGAAATTTTGGGGAAATTTCACACAAATTTAAAAAAGATCCCCAATTCAAATTATTTTTTTTTTTTTTTATTATCACACGGCCGTTTCCCCCAGGCAGGGTGGCCCGAAAAAAAAAATTTTCCCCCTTTCATTCACTCCATCATGTCTTGCCGAAGGGTGCTTTTACACACAGTTTTTAAACTGCAACATTAGCCCCCCTCCTCAGAGTGCAGGCACGTATTCCCATCCCCAGGATCAAGTCCGGCCCTCCCGGGTTTCCCTGATCCCTTATAAATTTTTACTTTGCCACACCCCAACAGCACGTAAGTATTAAAAACCATTGTTCCATTCACTCATCAAACACGCTCCGCATGTCTGCTGGAAGTCCAAGCCCCGCACAAAAAAAACCCCCTTTCCCCCCTCCCCCCAACTTTCCTAGGCCGCCCCCTACCCCCCTTCCTTCCATACAGACTGATACACTCTGAAGTCACTCTCTTTCGCTCCATTCTCTCTAATTTAAACCACCTCAACAACCCTTCCTCAGCCCTCGGGGACAACATTTTTGGAAATCCCGTCCCCCTTTAATTTCCCAAACTACAATTTCTGCATTATATTCACCCCCACACATTCCCCTCAGACAGACTCTCCATGCCCCGCCTTTCCTCGCTGAAAACATTCTCCCCATGTTTACACCTTTAAGAGCTTGGTAAAACTATCTTCATCTTTCCCCCTCTTTGCTCCAAGGGCCCAAAACCCAAGGCACCCTCACCCTTTTTCCCCCTCATCAATTCTATGATTACCTCATCTTTCTAGACCCATCGCTGACAGTCCACTCCCAAAAAATTGAATACTTCACCTCCTCCTACTCTCTCCCCAATCTGATATCCAATCTTTCATCCCAAACTTTTTGTTTTCCTAACCTTAAAAAAATCTTTCCTGTATTCACTTGTAAATTTTTTTCTTTTGCACCCCTACCAAAAACACCCCCAATCTCTGCAACTTTCTTGAATTCCCAAGAGCACAGTGTCATCAGCAAAAAAGAAATTTTTCTTTTAAACTCCCACCCCTTGCTAAGACCCCTTTCATTTTCTTCCTTACAACCCATCTTAAATTATTAAACAACCCC